GGCAACGCATCCATACCCCACCTGGCTTGCATCGGAGAACAGATGGAGCTGTCTGGAGACAACTGGGCCAAAACCCGGCGGTTTGTGACACCGATCAATGTGAAATTGCTCTAGTAACGGAAGCTCTCCACACCATCTTAGCCATTTACTGCGGCAGTCTTCCGGAATGTCGTCATCCCAGTCGAGATCTTCATTGCGGCAGAGATCCTGTAACAGCTTCTTCGCTAGAAGTGTGAAAGGAGCGATGAAGCCCAGGGGATCAAAGATTGATGAGATGGTGGACATGACTCCTCGTCTTGTAAACGGTTTGCTGTTAATGACGATTCGAAATCCAAAACAATCTGATTGTACGCACCACTGTATCCCTAAGGCACGCTCGATAGGGAGGTTGTCACAGTCAAGAGTTATTGATCTGACTTCTTTCGATCGCTCATCCTCTGGTATAGACTCTAAAACTGCACGACTATTGGAAGTGAATTTGGTGAGGCGGAATCCACCTTTCTTACAGGATTGCCGAAGACCTTCAATCAGCTCGACTGCTTTACCTTCCGAGCTTACGGAACGTAGACAATCGTCCACATAAAAGTTATTTCGCAGCGTGTCAGCAACCAAGGTACCGTACTTATCTTCGTTATCCCTTGCGGTTCGCTTAAGGGCAAAGTTAGCGACACTTGGCGACGAGGCCGCTCCAAATAAATGTACAACCATCCGATACTCTTGTAGCTCGGCTTCTAGATTGCCATCTGGCCACCATAAGAAACGGAGGTAATCATACTGTTCAGGAGGAACTGTAACCTGGTGGAACATGGATTCCACATCTCCCATGAAGGCTACGGGGTCTTCACGAAATCTGGTTAGCACGCCTACTAGGGAGTTTGTCATATCTGGACCTTGCATCAGACAGTCATTGAGCGACACGCCCTGAAACTTTGAACTACAGTCAAATACGACGCGTATTTTTTCTGGTTTTTTCGGGTGATACACCCCATGATGGGGTAGATACCACACCTTGCCTGGGTTCGGTATCAGCAACTCATTTGGAACTCTTTGTGCATACCCTTTGGCGATGACATCGTTTACGAAGGAAACGTAATCAGAGCGGTATTTAGAATCTCTCAACATCTTTTTCTTCTGCCAGTTTGCTCTTTTGATTGCTTGCTCCTTATTGTTGGGCATGATAATATCGCTATGTCGCAATGGAAGAGGAACTTGGTAGTGGCCGTCGACAACTTTCGTCTCCCTTTCAACCATAGTTAAAAACTTTCTGTCTTCTTGAGAAGGCCCACGCTCGTCCGGTGCTTTGCTTACGGTGTGATCGTTGAAGTCCATCTGCAACATTCTGAGCAATGACGTTGGAGCAATGATTTCCTTCGGCGTTTCCACTTCTCTCACTGTAATTCGGTTCGCGATTATTTTGTCCTTGTCATGATCAGTTCGGATATGGAGAGGTCCACAGACTGTCCAACCATGGCGGAGACGGAGGGCAAATGGGCCATCGCTTCGACAAGGTACAACTTCTAATGGTTCTAAGGCAGGCGGGCAATTGCTGCCAATGAGTAGTCCAATCTCCAGGCGAGGCTCAAGCTCAGGGATTTTCTTCGCAACCTCGGAAAGGTGTGACCACTGATTTATGAGACTGGGCGTGGGAATTTGGTGATGTTCTGCTGGGATTTCATCTCTTGTGTATGAGCGAGGCAACTCAATGGGATTCTCATCATCTAGGCTCGTAACGATAAGATCGTCCAGAATGATGCTTTCCACTTGACTCTGTCCATGCATGGTGGTGAGTTGTAGCATAACCTTGACACCGTCTATTCCTAACTGTCTCCTGATATTTTCGGTTGCAAAACAGCCGCCACTACCATTATCGTAAAACGCGTACGTGACAACTGAATTGTTACAGCCCTTCTGTTTAACTTTAACTGGGAGTATGGCATGTAGCACTACGGACTCCTTGCAACTTGGTGCGTCCTGTACAGGTTTAGAGACATCAATGCGCCTATTGCTAACCGCTATAGATTGAACTTCCGTCGCTTGGGGTTTGTTACTGACGCTCTCTCTATTCATTGTGAAACCATCAATGTGCAATGCTGTTGGGTGCCGTTTCTTGCACTTCTTGCAGGTGCGTCTCTTTACACAACCTTTGGATACATGATCAGATTCGTAACAGGCAAAGCATAATTTTCTTTCGTAAAGAAATGTCTTCCTTTCATCCATGGTCCTTTTGAGGAATTCCGCACAATCATCCAGGTCATGGTTCTTGCTGCAGAAGGGGCACAACTTTTCCTTGCCACCAGCATTGTTTCGGTTCGCATGGTTTACAGCCTCTATGCCGGGAATGGTGATACCAGTGGCAAAACTGTTGCTTGTTTTAGTTGCTGACGAGGGCTTCTTCTTGCCATCTCTCCCACTGTTATCTCTGCGCCTTTCCTGGGTACTACTTAAAGCCTGCACGCCAAATACAGGGTCGTTCGCTGATTCGGCTGCTGACACCACAAAATCAGCGAGATCCTTAAAGCTCGCTATCCTTCCGTTCTCTTTCAATTTCGCAGCACGATCACGCCATCTTGACTGGAGATGCGAGGGAAGCTTTTTTGCAATGGTCTGCAGGTTCGTAGGATGATTTAACTCATTCATATGAGACACGCTCATCATAGCATTTTTACACTTAATCAAGAAAAGCGATAAACGCTTTAGTCCTGATGCGTCATCTGGCCGAACTGGGGACCATCCGAGAGCTTTGTTCACATAGGCCATTGAAACTTTAAAGGGATCCCCATATTCCTTCTCCAGTAACCTCCTCGCCTCCTTATATCCTTCAGAAGGGTCCATATGCAGACAGCCTCCAATAAGTTCTCGTGGTTCCCTTTCAAGATGTTGTTCCAGGTAGTATAAGCAATCTGCCGCCCTGAATGTTCTGGACTCTATCCTTGCCTTGAATGCCATGATAAAGGTTCCATATTCGATGGGGTCTCCTTTAAACTTGTGCACTTCAGGTTGAGGCAGAGTCATTGCTGCAGCCAGTTGCCGATGGGTTGCAATCATTTGCTCATTTTGCTGTCGCTGCATGGCCATCACTTCTTTGAAAGACCTTTCATGGGGTTCCAATCGATAGGGATCATCAGCTGCAGCGATAATTCCTTGTGGTACATCAGTGGTCCCGTTGTTAGCCGGAGGCGATATCTCGCCGGCTAGACTGTTTGAGTGAAACTCTGGGGCAGCAGGGTTGAGATGAGCGGCAGGTGTTGAAGCCATGAATTTAGGTTCACTTTGCTGGAGACAGGGAACAATACCATCCTTATTTTCTAGGTTACCATCATTTTCCAAATCGGCATAAACCCTTTCTCTGGCCTGGGCTTTCGCTATTTCAATTTCCAGTTTCAAGGCTTCATCTGCTGCTCGTAGAGCTTGTTTGCGTTCTAGCATTTGTTTTTCAGCTTGTAATTCCGCTAGCTTAAGTTTCTCCTTTGCTCGTGCAGATGGCGTTGAGCTGGCTGAAGACTTCTTCGAACGGGTGCTAACACGGGACGATTTGGATGAAGCCGATTTTACTTCTGAGAGCAGATCAAGTTCTTCTGTTAAGCGACGTTCTGCTACATTCATCCATTCCATAACCTGTTTCCTAAATTCCAAAAATGACTTCTCCTTACTTTCATAGCGATCAAGTTCCCTGTCTTGATCCTGTTCGGAGGTCAACTGGCAATAATAAAGGTCACGTGCTTCTTGATACTCCTTGAATAATGTGTTCAATACAATAACCTCTGATTTCACTAAATGAAGATTGTTCTCATCTTCCATTAAGTTTGTGAGAGCATTCCTTTGCTTTGTCACAGCAGTCGTTTTGGCAGTTTGATCGTTTTTCAGTCGCCTTAATTTCTCTTCTTGACCCTTTTCAGTTAATTTCCTTACACGAGTATCGGGACAGCTTTCGTTCGGAGGAAACCCAGGCCCAGCGCCCTCAGCGACAGGTTCATCGTTCATGGTGGACTAGGCACTAATCAATCCTTCGGTAGTCGCTTCAAATTAGCGATGAGTGGCGAACAGTTCGCCCAACATTGCAAATAAACGTAGGATAAGTTCCAATAAACCAGTATGCGATGAGGGTTAAACTTTTCGAAACGAAATGTGCACGCATAAAACGGTACGACAACACAAACTTGAACACGCGTACTTGTAATTATGAAATGGACTTTACAATCTTGAACGAACGTTGTACGGTTGTACGGTTTCGAAAACTAAAAGGAAACAAAGGAAATTTACAACTATAAATACGGAAAAAGGCTAGACAAACAAGAAACGAAACCAAAAAAAACTTACGTTTGTGTCCTTATAATATAAACGATGACGTTAAACGGGCGTTGAAACGATTCTCCACTTCGATCGAGCACATGTATTTTTTAACTCGCAGCGCCTCTCGGGATCTAGCTAATGAGTGCGTGACATCACGCATAACGGCAGTAACAACGAATGAATTTATAATAATTATACAAACTGCGTTGGTTGAGTAACAAGCACTGCACTTGAGTGGAAAAATTCAATAGAAGTCTATTTCATGAAAACATTACTGTTCAGGAGAGTGCCCTGGGGACGAGGTAGCCTCTCATTCGCGGCTACCAAAGTATTGCACCATTCTACAGACCAAGTACAAGAATTTCGAAAAGAGGACATCGGTAGAGTTTGACTACCAGTTTACGAACCAGCGGTATATTTGTACGGTGTTGGCTTTCCTATTTTGCCTACATATGAGAAGAAACTCTCACTGAAGTGCAGACATCGTTTCAATGGGTAGTTATTTCTCCACTCAATCCCCACCCGACAAGGTGGACAACAATGATGTGCTAGGAAACAAAGGAAGAAAAGTTTTGGATGCCTGTGTGAAGGTTAAGATTTACGGCAAACCAGAAACACCCAGATATGATGGCGAAAGAGCACTGCAGCTATTTCGTGGATGCTATATGCATACAATCGGAGTAGGATACGAAGACTTTCTGCCAGCCGAACCCAATGATAAGGCAGAGAAAACATACAGCATTATTGATATTTACAAGGCAATGGTTAAGTATGAAAACATGCCCTATGTTGAAATATATCCCGAAGGGCCTGACGCAAAGAAGATGAAAGAGTTGATTGATAAACGAAGAGCTGACGTTGAAAGAGAGTTGGAGGAAGCTAGAATTAACCCAGATGGAAGAAAAACGTATTCCTGGACTGTTGCACAGCACCGAGTTAGAAATTGCTATGCTGGGAACTTTCCTGAGGATTTCGGTCTCACTGTTTTTTTTGATCCTGGACCTAACAGTATCAAGAACATTAAAAATATTTTTGATTTGTGTGATGAAAAAGCCATTGAAGTATTTAGTGACCAAAGCAAAAGCATAGACAAGAAAGCCCTTTCACACAGGGCTGACATTCAAAAGAAGTACCAGGATGCTCTCGCTTCTCCTGGCACTCTCTACAAATATAGTGAAGAAGAAGCACAGGAAAGTTTAAAGAATTGTTACTCTGATGCTGCTGATCGATGTTTTGATAGTCATAATTGCCAGGCATGTGGTAATCCTGATTTCTGTATTTTTAAACTTTATAATGCAGTTAGCAGGTATGATTTCAGATTGCTGCCAGTTAGCAAATACCCTGCTGAAGCACCTGGTTCTGAGGAGCTGAAGAATTCAATTAAAAGACACAGGGCAGATTTAGAGAAAGAGTATCAGAACTTTTGTAACAGCGAAGAATCCAGGCTGCCAGTTTATGAATATTCTCGTGGAGAGGCAGAGCGCCGTGTTAGAGATTGTTTTGCTAGTGCCTTTCCTGGGGATAGTGATGTATTTCCCACAAAGAAAGATCAGAGTGGAATGCCAAAGATCTACCAAACTTTTGATATTTTTGACATAAAACAATCTCTGGATTATTTTGATACCAAAAAGTATCTCGAAAAGTATCCAGAAAAGGGACACATATCTGATGAAATAAAGGAAGGTGTTGACAAACAGAGAGAAGATATTCTAAGAGAATATGAGAATGCCACTAACAATGATGAAATTGAGTATGGTTCTGGATTTGTCATCAGTGACCACTTTATACTCACCAACAAGCATGTGATTCAAACCTACCTGGATCAAAAAGACTTTGAAATTCACATTTCCAATGCAGCCATTGGCGAGTTGCATTGTGAGGTTGTTCACAGTGATCCTGGTAAGGATCTTGCATTACTGTATTGTCCAGATCTCAATTTACATCAAAGTAGAATTTCTCCATTGCAGTTGTCAACTCAGCCATTGCTGCCAGGAATGCAGATATTTTCTTTTGGTTATCCTATGAGTCACAAGGAAGAAACTGCTCTTTTTGTGAATGGAAATGTTTCTGGTTCAAAGAGGACCCCATCAGGCCATTCAAAGGCAGTATTGAACTGCTCACTGAATTGTGGCAATTCAGGGGGTCCAGTTCTGTCCTGGGTAGATGGTGAGGTAAGGGTAGTTGGCATCGCAACTCAGAAACATTTTAAAGAGATTTTAACACTGGATGAAATGAATGCAATTGAAAATATAAGAAAATCATTGCAAACCCAAACTATTACTGATGTGCCAGAGTATGAAATGTACTATCTCTGTCACCAAAACATAAGAAAAAAAATCCCCTTGTCCTATCAGGTTTCACTGCATCTGCTCACATTAAAACTGTACGATGCTTTGGAAACACATTCTCAATTCAATTTGAGCAATGCATTGCCTGGAGACTTGGTGGTTGAATTTATCAAAAACTTCATCCCTAAATATGAAGGGGAGAATAAAGAAGAGTTGACCAAGGTCTGTGAATTGTCTCAGTGAGTTCATCAAACACTTAAAATTCTTTGCAGATCCTTCTTTATGATGATATATCTGATTTTTATGAGATTGTTATTACACATAATTTGTAGTAAATTTGAAAAACACTTTTTTAGGAGTATCATGCTCAGGGGTTGAGATTCGGTCTAAGATGGATCAAAGAACTGTGACAGATCCTTCTTTATGACGATATATCTAACTTTTATAGGAATGTTGGTATTAGACATAATTTGTAGTAAAAGATAGGAAACACTTCCTTAGGAGTATTAAGTCCAGGGGTTTGGATTCAGTCTAAGATGGATTGAAGTACTGGGTACTTATTTGGCTTTATATTGGTGTGTACCATGATTTCAGAATACCTGTCCAGAAAAAAATTTTGTATTGTTAAACAGGCCCTGGTTCTTTTAATGGTTCGTAATTATAATCTGAGGTTGGTAAAGTTTTGGAATTTTTAATAATTGTATCTCTTAAAGAAAAATTTGTAAGTAATCATGAACTGCACAAAGAAATTATGTTGAAATAAATGTAGCATTATGATACATATCTTCTGAACTCTCAAAAAAATAGGAGCATTATGTTGTAATAATATTTGGATTTCTTATAATAATAATTGTAGGGTGCCTTGAGGCTCTTAAAAAAGAAACATTTTTATTGTAGAAAAGTATCTGCCACTTGATAATGGATCAGAATTACTATCATCTTTGGTCAGTTAAGTTTCATATATTTTTTTTGATAACTTTCAAACCTAACTAGATTCTGTTTCAGGGCAGTTTGTTTAGTTTAACTAAAGTAGGATTAGTAAAGTAAAGCATCTTGCAGGAGTGAGTATTGTTATTAATAATGTTATCTCTAGTTGTCTAGTTTATTGCCTTCTATTTTATTAAATGGGAAAAGTTTAATAAAAACTAGTTCTCTAGTTTATTGCCTTTTCTATTAAATGGTTCACTCATATAAAGAAATCAGATTTTCATGTTGCCAATCCTAGTCCCGCACCTCCACAATGTTTGTTCATGAAAACTTACACAAACTCTTATGGTTTTTTTTTTCTACCCTGATTGAATTCTCGATTCTATGAAAAGAGGAACTTTGCTAAAATAGGGCCTTCATTAACCCTAACTATGTAATGCAGTCAAGCTTACAGAAAAACCGATAAGGTAGAGTAACTCAGATCTTGCCACACTCCTGTGCAAATTATTGTTGAACCACCCAAAACTTTCAGGGCTCCCAGTTACTTTTTTAGCAGTCACCATTTGACTACATAAAATCAAAAAATGGTCTCTAGAAATGATAGTTATGTCAATTTGCATGCAATCTGTTAAGGAGATTTGCAAGACATTACAGGACTAAATCTGGGATGACCCAAGTATTTGCCTTAATAACAATGCAATATGCCACAAAAAAGTTTACACAAGGTGCTTTATTTCAGACCATCACAGTTATTTGTTCACAAAATAAAATTAGCACATACACACAACAGCCCTTCCAGAAAGCCATTCACTAAAAATAATGGCAGGAATTCATCACTTCTAGATTGGGTGTACAGTTTACAAGGCAAACAGGATTAAAAATGCCATCATCAAGCAGAAAAGACCCATAGCTTCAGACAAAGCAAAGCCAAGAATGGCGTATGAGAAGAGCTGTTGCTTCAGGGAAGGATTCCTGGCATAACCGATGATCAGACTGCCAAACACTGTACCAATACCAGCTCCACTACCTGAAGAATAAGAAAAACAAATTCAAAGTCAGAAGACAATTTGAAAAGAGGAAACAAAACTTTTAATGTAAAGCAAGCAAATGAAATATGCCACATAAAATATTTCCAGCCATCCTTTCTCAAGACACTGGCATGATTGAATTCAAGCTTGCTCTACAGCTGCTCAGCACTTATAGTGCAATTACCATAGTGTCAGAGTGTTACCAAATGGGCTTCTGCTTTCATGTCAGTTTTTTTTTTTACCCTACCTTTCCTAAGTTGCAAAGGTTTAACTCTTCAAGTAATTGACTGACCTGCAACACCGACAGTAGCTGCTCCAGCACCAATGAATTTAGCAGCAGAATCAACATCCTGTACCTGAGAACTTGTCTGAAAGCCTCGGCAGGCCACAGATAACATGGGAGAGGAAGGGAAAGCCTGAAAAAAGAAAAAAAAAGAAAAATATATCAACAAATACAATCATTGTACCAAAAAAGCATTGTTTACATGTACTGTTGCACATATTCATGCCAGAATGGTTAATCAGTAACTAAAATCATGAGGTGTCTTTCAAATCTTCTCCAACAAAAGAATTACTAAGAAACTGGGAAGCTGACACTTCAGCTAGATGGTATTACTACATAAAAAAAACTGCATCTCTAGGAAGAGGAACTCCTAATTACCACAGCAAACTGAATGCCACAAACCAAAGTCAGTTTTTTACAAACTTTCAAAATTGACTTGAGAGAGTTACTTCAAGGGTTTTCAGTTATGACCTCTCTTGGAGAAAACCAGTCCTTGACTCACCTTCATTTGAACATTATCTTTTTGGATACCTGAAAATTGCACAATAAGGCAACAATTGTTATGAATAAACAACAGAAATCAAGAATAGTTTTGTCTTGAGACAGGACATAAATAAAGATACAATCTGCTCACAAGGAAATAGGTGGTTATCTCTAAGAGAGAAGACTGGATGTATTGCTCCATTTATTTTAAGTCAACACAATATTACACTACAGCCAAACTTACTAGGAAAATGACTTGACACAACAGCACGAGACAAATTAAAGATATTCCTGAAAGCAAAAAGTTACAGTAAGGCAAAATGTGACACCTTATCATCTAGAATAATTCACTTCCAAAACAAAAACCCAAATTTTTCCACACAACAATAAGGTATCATTAGTTAAGAGAACTGATAATCTGATATTCTAACTCAAGACACATTTTTTTTGTCTAGTCAAAATGACAACATTGATTTCTGCAAAGCAGTTTGGCAATTTTTAGATCATTCACTTCCAAATCATGATAAAAGTAAAAAATACATAACAAAAGTAGACAGAATTTTGAGGGTGCCTGCTACATGGAGGAAAACCTCAGCTGAAAACTGATCAACCAGCAGTCACTTGCCTACAAAATTACTTTCACCCTTTAAATCCCAAAATCTGACAGTTAATTCTCCCCTCAAGCTGATTCACATTTGCTTGTAAATTAGTTATGAGAACTTGGTGCTGGATCAAGATAGCTGTTTCTACCTGATAAGTTTCAATATTCTCATTGCCTGTTTGCTGAAAAATGCATGGATATTATTGCAAGAATTTCATGTTAATCACTACTAGGAGTAAAAGGGTTAAGAACAAGCCATACTTACTTTGGCGTGGATTGAACATTCTGAAACAAACCAAAAAGACTAATCAACTCCAAAATTGCAATAAAAGTAACAAATGGAATGTAAAAAAAAATCTTCTTTATCTTAAGATCGACACAGAAACTTTACACACTGTTTGTACATTTCAAAAAATATATAAAATTGCTGACTTTTCTGTGGAAGTCAATTGTCAATTTTCTTTGGGAATACGTTTTCCTGTTTAAACTGAGTAATTCATTTCATATAATCTTGCTTGCCTTATAAATATTCGTTTGAACACTGGAATCAAGAGTTCAACATTAAATCCTATATTGGATTCTCTCGGAATCCACCCCCAAGGCTAAACAGCGAAAATGCTGGTCCAAGGGTGGCAGAGACTAGACTAAGCACGCTATAACATTCCTTAAAGACGATTTCCCACACTGCGAGGCTCCTATAGTTTCTCGGTGAACATTCCAACATTTCATGACGTCTAAACCTAGTATTACACGTGCAAAATCAGCGACCAGTTGCACAAGCCGTGCCGGTTAATACGTTAAACGGCAAATCTGCCCAACACAACGATAAAAAAATGACCCTGGGTGAAATTAACATTTACTTGGCGTTTTTAAAGTTGTTTAGTTTAACCTCAAGCACTTTTACGGGGTACATACCATTGCCAAAGCTTGTGACTGGGGACGAATGGCCGTAGAGAGCGGCCGCGATAGTGCGCGACCATTGCCAACCTACAAATATTAGTGTATTTTCGTAAATTTAAACCATAAACTCAGCAAAATCTCACCAGTTTTTTACTTACAATACTCCTAGCGACTGGGGAGGTAAATTTACTGCAAGAAAACATATTTTAGGATAACTTCTTTGCCGATTAAGCCACGCTCCGTAATACTCTCCAAGATGGACGGCGAGGAGGGACAACGCTATGCAGGCTGGGAGATTCACAGCGACCGCTTGGTGTTCTGGATACTACCTCGCTTGTGTGTTCAGGGGATCGAGGCTGTACCTTGATTGGTAATCACGAGTAAGACTTTCATGGTCTTACAACGAATTTTATGACACCTAGAAATGACAAAATTTATTGATTTGTTTGTCCTTTCCTTTTTTTTTTTAGAGGAAATCTTAAGACACATTTACAGCATTTGGGTTGTGCTGGAATTTTCACAAGTCCTTTGTACCTGCCTCTGACACATTTTAGAGAAATAATTGTTCCAGTCGAATGAATCCTGGGAGGAGGGGATGGGACTAGGTGTAAAAGCCAGTGGTTGGCAGCAGCATCTCCCCAATCATTTCCCCCCCCCCCTATTTTCTCCTACTTCATCACAGTAATACGGCTTTATAAGTAAGAATGCTTGTCCGTGTTCATGATTAAAGTTTATTAATTTCTTCAGTAGAAATGATTGTCCCTCTTGCCGTCTGAGTGAACTTTTATCAGTGCTCAAAAACTAACAGCCTTTCATAATGTATACTCAAACAAAAAACAAGAAGGTTTTGCTTTCAGGTTGCCTTTCATATAGAAGTGACTGCGTTATTATTATTTTTTGTTTGTTTGTTTATAAGCCCCCGTCGCGTGCATAATTTTCAGGAAATAATTTTTCTAATTGCCAACGAGCCAGCCGAGCGAAGACGCTCGGCTGGCGAGGCGGCATATAAGAATGGTGACTTCTCGATCGGCATTGAAAAGTTATTATTTTTTAAGTCTCAGTTTAAGCCAATTGCAAGGAAGGAACTATTCAAGCCAATGAAAAGACGTGTTACATTGTAAATGAAAAATTCAGTGTTGTTTTTTTATGCTCTTTCAAAGCAACAGTTATACAATACAACACGATTCATATTCTTTGTTATGTTATTCTTTATAATGTTACATTAATAACAAGAACTATTCACATTTAAATGACTTGGTTAATATTACCAAGCCCTTAAAACCTTAGGTTTCCATGTTAACTAAAAACCCTTTTATCAATTGGCCTTATCAAACCACAAATTGATCGCTCGTTGGCACTCTATCGATAGGTATATCTAGTTTATCTAGTGTCCGAAATATTTTCGGTTCAAAATGAATACAGTTCCTTCGTATTTCACAGGAAAAAAATATTAGAGCGTTCTAATAGACTATCTATAGTTCATCAGAATGAATTTCGGTAGTTTTGCTGTTTTCTGACACTAATTCAGCCTCGCTATCAGAATCTACATCAGCCACAATCTCCTCAACATCTTCATCACTGTCAGCCGGTGATTGAGCCTTCGTTCCCGTTTCCGCTGATTTCTGATCATGCACAGAGCTTGAATTCTGAAGATGTATCTCACCTTCTATTTCAGGGGTTCCATCGAAGCCCATGTCCATAGCTACCCCTTCTAGTACATCCTTGCCATACATTGAAACCAGTTTCTTTAGGGCGGTTTCATAAAGTTCCTCCGGAATAATGTTTTCAAAGACGTCAGCCAGGAGAACCTCTCTTTCCCTAAGAAACCTTGCGTCAGTCATGGCACCCTCGAAGAAAAATATCAGCGAGTACAATGCCCTTTCCCAGGTCATAGGCTCCCAGCCGAGTAAGAGCTTAGCCTTACTGATATCTAGGGGACCTTTGGTAACAGTAGGATAAGAATACCACGTTTCCTCATCTTGAGAGATGAATTCCAGCTGGTCAATGTTCATTTTATCTGCCATGTCTCGGAGAAGTTTTTTCAATGTAAAATGCTCATCAAACGCCACATTGATGGCTTGATTGTGTACAGCGGGACCGACATCCAATACTTTCTCAATCGCTTTGGCGGCGTCTTCCACATGTATAAGGCTAAATTTTGTGTCGGACACACTGCTGGGCATATGTACCGGGTGTTTGATGTCTTTATGGATGCGTATCCACAACTGGTAGGTCCAAAACCGGAAGGAATTATCACGTGGTCCAATAACATCCGGGAGTCGCAAAGCCACATACGGGAATCCACTAGACTTTCTCTGTTCCTCGAGGACTTCCTCGCAAGCCAACTTGTCATGCGCATAGCCTTCTTCTCTCTTAAGTTGCAAGCGTTTTTTCCTGTTCTTCGGTCGCACGGCATCCTCTTCAACACTGGGCCCGGAGTGCGTTTTCTCGCAGACTTCATAGATAGAATCGGTGCTGATGTACACGTAAAGACCGACACGATCATGCAGTATTTCGACCACCTGTTTTAATTGTCTTGCGTTGTATGAACTGAAATCGATTACAGCATCGTAATAACCGGAAGTTAAAATCTCCTTGCATTCAGTTCTCATTCGCATGTCTCTATCACAAATAAAATGCTCTTTTACAAATGGTTTGATTCGCTGGTCAGAATCAAAGTACCAATTCCCACGATTCACAATGGTGATCTCATCTCCTTTGTCTAAAAGTCTCCGTACAGCTTCGCTTCCAATGAATCCATTCCCACCAAATACCAGAATTTTTCGACCGCTTTTCCCATTTTTTCCTTCTCCTATAGATTCTTCGCCACAAGTGTAATGAAAATAGACCAGAAGATATGCTAGAAGCATAAACATTTCTCTAATCGCGTTCATCTGCATTGTGTAGTTAGTGAATCTGAGCTAAATGACTCTCTATCACTTTCTTGCTCTTTTAGTAACGGAGAAAGTTCAGTTCACAGCTGTGTTTACTTTCTAACCGCGTAAGGTGTAAGCGATCCAACCACTAAAATAAACGCACGTTGTTTGCCTTTGAAAGCGAATAAAATCATTCTACGTTCCTAGAACTTTCATTGTTTTCTGCATAAAGATAACGTGTCCTTTTAGCGATTAATAGCCTTGAGTAAATTTTTGCGGCGATAGCACATGTGAGGTTATCGGTGATCACACCTGTTCGCAACTCTATTTCTCTGCGCGCGGTTGATCATTAAAGCTCATCACACTAATTCTGCGTTAAATCGAAATGACCAACCTGTTAACGAGAAAGTCTGAATCGTGATGTATATAAAGACTTCTACCCGTTTCCGTGCTCATTTTCAATTCCCCAAATCTAACCTTTTCGCTCCCAGATCTCATTAGTAATTCTCCTTGTGGGGAGTCGGTTATATTATTTTTGTGTTGTTAGTTTGAAGAACGTGTTTCGTCCTGGATCAATTAATAATCCCCAAATTGATATTTTTCTTTATTCTCATCACTTGCCTGCTTGATATTGTGTCGATATTGTAAGGAGAAATTCTGTCTTGGTCACTCATAAGAGTGAAAGGGTTAAGGCAAACTACCTTCAAACAGCTTGATTTGTAAACCATAAGGTTTATGCTAATTGTCGCGTGTTGAAAGCGAAGAATAAGATCTAAGACGATTACACTTAAGTGATTACAGTCACAAGTAAAAAAGCGATGATAACACGATACTGGTAATTCTAAAAATCAGTAGAAAACCTCATTTAATTTCACGACAAGCTCTGGTTAGTCGGTGATCAAATTTTTTTCCTCCACCATAAATGAGTGCAAAACGCTTTTAATTGTCCTAATTTTTGTGTGGCTTTTGATCTTTGGAACAAATTCTATGATCTCCAAACGGAAGAATTTTGAATTATCAGGATTTCTTTTCGAGACACACTTTTTTTTTCAAATTTGGGACACTTCTAAAGCGTCAAATTAGACTTTGACAGTGCATGCAGTTAAACTAGACCACACAGAGAACTGAACAATGCCAAATGTTACATAAGTAACCTCTGAAGTTTGAAGTTGATATCTTTTCATGTACACAGTGAAAATAAACTTTGATACAGCTATGTAGACATTCCTACATTTGCCACTTCTCTAGATTAAATGTTCAAAGTGCGAAAAATGTTCGAAAAACTTTTGGACCAAAAGTTTTCCGCTCGAAATTCAAAATAATGGAAAATGGGAAGATTAAGTTAATGAGTAAAAACACACACAGACGCACTCGTTTACAGCTCGATTTTTCTTACGGTTCATCGTTAACCCTTGAACTCTCAGAAGTGATCGACATGAAATTTCTCCCTATAATATCCATACATTATCCAGCAAACAGGTAATGAGAATATTCAAACTTTTCAGGTAGAAGCCACTATCTTGACCTAGCACCAAGTTCTCATTACTAATTGAAAGGAAATGTGTAGCAGCTACAGAGGAGAATTAACAATCAGATCTTGAGAGTTAAAGGGTTAAAAAACAATGGTAACCTGCAAAGAGGAGAACTAGGGATATCACGATGGAAATCTTTCACGAGTTGTACACGTGTAATATTCTGAGGTGGACTACGAGAACACAAGATTAAGTGGTTTTTCCAATTTTGGAAAATACTACTTCGCAACATAGTTACTAGTATTCAATTCTATCGGGCTCAAAGTTTTGCGAAAACCCGCCAAAATAGGATTCATGGATCAAAGTTCTGTTTAACAAATCACGGAAATTATGGACCCTGTACTGCTTGAATTTGACCACCCGTAGGCAGCAGAAATCAAAGCGCTCTCCAGCTTCTTTATTATACCGCTCACGTGTTCATCAGGTGATATGCAAGACTTTGAAGCGTTTAATAACCCGTTCAATATCGACCCCAACATCATTCGTCTAACAAAACCATAATCATTATGGTTTTGTTATGTTTCGAAGTCAATCAATCGTTGCAAGATAATAAGTCTGTCAAGACGATCTGTTGTTTCTCAGATGAGTCAAGAGATCAATTCTTAACTTTGCCGGAAAACACGTTACGACTGTACACCAACACAACAGTAGTATTCAGACAAGCTTGAAATCACGATAAGTTTTAGCCTTATCCAAGGGCTACAATTACAGCAACTTGTTTGAGATTATGTAACACTACCACGATAGTAGAGGGCAGAGAGTGTGAAATATTAAAGAGAGACAAATAAAGTGAATTACACATGCTCGGCGGACTCGAAAATAACAGCTTATCTGTTGCGTGGCCTCTTCATGGTGTCTCAAAGAGATAAGATCCGTTTTCAAATAATGGAAACTCAACCTAACTCCATTTCTCAGTTTAAAGTTTGCAATCCGTCAGAATCGTTCCCATCTTCGACCATTTCAGACATAAACTAGCCTATTTTAACCAAAGCTACTTTTCTGACAGGTGTGAAAATGCTGATTAGAACAGTGACGATCAAATCTTATTCTAATTGACTAGCAATACATGCACAAGCAAGTTAATTCAACGCCGCAGCCAGTACTAAAACAAACCAAGCCCATAATATAAATCAATTTATTCACAAAGTTGTTATTTCTGTTGTAACCAAACCTCTACAAATCTATGGCAATGTTATTAATATACACAGTGTTTTAAAACTCATAAAATACAAGTGTTTTATTTGAGCGCAATATGTAGGCTATATACAAACGTGACTTGTGAGAAGAAAAATTCTCTCTCGACGAAAGAATGCTTGCGTATAAGGTACATGCATTATACCCACTTTGCCTTTTTTCGTTTTTCTTTTTTTCTTTACTTTTTTCCCCCGTTTTCGATTCTTCAATCACTCTTAGACTATTATAGTGTCAAAAATCGAGGTTTGAACTTTAAACACACCCATCCAGGAGCAACAGACAACAAACTACACCTTAATCAAGAAAGAGCAACTAAAGGGGAACCAACAAAACCTTACTGCGCCTACGATAACACGCTTGCTCTAAGAATCTCTTTACTTTCTTTCGCAACTTTCTTTTCAGGAGTTGGCTCTCCGTTTCACACAACCAGCACTTCAAACCGTATTCCCAACCAAAAATATATACATTTTTTTTAACCAAAGCCCTTTCTTGACATCTAAGGAAGCTAACTGCCTGGAAAAGCTCTTTTTACTCTTAAAATCCACTTCTACGATTTCTTTATTCTATTATCTTTTTGCTAGTTTTAAAACAATTCCTTTTCGAGGTGCTCCGCCAGTGTCGCTACTCGACCCCTGATCTGTAACAAGCTTGACTGTCCATTCGTTCTTCTCGCTACTTGCGTCAGAAGCCGGGCTTGCTAATGGAGAGCACATCGGGCTACCGGGTGATGAGGCCGAAGGAGACGCAGGTACAGAAGATGCAGGTGTCGGAAGTGGTGTGGGCAGTTTGAGCGAAGAGAAATCCGATTCGGACAACGGAAACGTTCTATCCGGCCATGGGGGCACAGGTGGCCAAACATCTTCCTCATACAAAGATTTTTCAGACCTTTCGGTCGAAGAAGACCTTCGATGCGGAAGCTTAGAGTCCGAGAAAGAGCGATGGAATTTCTCCATGGATGATACCAGTGTAGGCGTGGGTGTGGTAGTGGCAGATGGGGACAAAGACGATGCAGGAGGGTAGGGTATCGCGGCAGGAAAAGAGTTTGAATGTGGAAGAGAGTTTCCAGTCACTGTCGGTAATGGCGTGCTGCATATAGGTGTCCCGGGAGGGGTTCCTCCCTGGCTGTCTGGGTACCCTAGAGGGGATTGTGGATCTGAAAAGCTGATTTCACTGCTTTGCCTTGAGGTGCGCTTCCTTTTCTTTTTGATCAGTCCCAGAAACCGTTTACGTTCTTGCTCCTCACAGAGACGATGTCTTGAGATATACACATCATCTGTTGTATCTTCTGTTTCCTCCTTTTCAGTCTGATCATGATCCACCTGTGGAAAAGAAGTAATCTGCTTAAAGATCAATATGAACATTCTAAAACATCCCAATTCTATAATAAGTTATCAATTGTAACCTACAGTTTCTAAAAAGCTACATCACGTAGAATGATTAAACCACAAGAGAGAGAGAGAGAGAGAGAGAGAGAGAAAAAAACACCACACTGTTCAAAGGGATTGCAGGCTCAACTCTTTGTAAGCTTGTTACAATATTTAACTTCTGAAGAGATGGTAGGGAGATTGTTGAAAGAAAAAAACCAAACAAATCTGCAGAAGCACTGTTTCAAGATAAACATACAGCAATGCTAAAACTTTATCATGCATACCTTAAAATCCACCCCCTCAGAAGTGAATTGTCATCTACCTCCCCCAGCCCCCCCCCCCAAAAAAAAGAATGAATTCTTTTTTACGAAAGCTTATCTTATTATAATCAGTGGAAGTTACCTCCATTTTCAGCTCGTCACCTTCAGATATCACATCATTTACACGCCAGCTAGGAGTTGGGATTTCTTTGTACTGAAGCTTTTCCACTCTTGTCGCAGAGGCCATGGAGTATGGGATAACAATGTTGTTAATATCAAACGCATTGCTACCTTTCTTCTTCTTTAACAAGGAGCTGAGGCTGGCTGGTGGCATAGACTGAGTGAGGTTTGGGGTAGGGCTGGGAGTGGAAGTCGGGGTGGAAGGAGAGGACACCACAGTGGGAAGTGACAAACTCCTTGCACGTTTCTGCAACTGGGCAGCTGTTGGAGGTAAATAAACCCAACTGTTACTACATAACTCCCAAGATCTCATTTGCCTTACAGTTCCTATGATGTTAGTTAAGAGAATTAGTAATTGAATCAAATAATAATCCCCTAATTGATATGTTCCTTTGTTTGCATTACTTGTCTGCTAGATATTATACTGATTTTGAAAGGAGAAATTCTGTCTTTGTCAATGATGGGAGTTAAAGGAAATCACAGATTGAACAACTTTCAATACGAGCTAAAATGCAAGAAAAAATTGG